CCCCCCCGCGTGGTGGCGCGGTGGGACAGGGGGGGGGGGGGGGGGAGGAATGCCAGGGGGATGCTGAGCGGTGACAAAGCCCCACACCCCCCAAATTTCCCACCCCAGCTGCCACACGTGGCTTGGCCTCACAACTCACGGCTGCTTCTCCAGTGCCAGGGCGGGGTCCACCCGCTCCCCCTCGCTGTGCTCAGCACCCACCGGCTTCAGCATCTTGGGGGTCCAGCTCTTCTGGCGTAGGTGCTGCCGCGGCGCCTCCTCCTTGGGACGCTCTGAGCCCTCGAACTGGACTGGAGTGGGATGAGATGTGAGCCCCCAAAGCCCCCTCCGTGCCAGTTCCATCCCCATCCCTAGCTCCGTCCCTGTCCCCAGTCCCATCCTCATCCCTGTACCCATTCCTATCCCTGTCCCCATCCGTGTCTCCGTCCCCATCTAGTCCAACCCTCTGCCATCAGCAGGGACATCTTCAACTAGAGCAGGTCGCTCAGAGCCCCGTCCAACCTGACCTGGAATGTTTCCAGGGATGGGGCATCCACCACCTCTCTGGGCAACCTGGGCCAGTGCTTCACCACCCTCAGCATAAAAAAAGTCTTCCTTTTATCTAGTCCGAATCTGCCCTCTTTTAGTTTAAAGCCATTCCCCCCCCCCCTTGTCCTATCGCTACAGGCCCTACTAAAATGTCTGTCCGCATCCCCATCCTCGTCTCTGTCCCTATCCTCGACCCCGTCCTTGTCCCCATCCCCATCCGTGTCCCCATCCCTGTCGCCTACCTGACAGCACTTTGACGATCTGCTCCTTCTTCCACTCCCAGGGCTGCTCGTACTCGCCTGCCGGGCGCTCGTCGTTCTCAGGCAGGCGCCCGTCCCCAGCCCTCGCCTTGCGCTCCGGGGTCCCCCCGGCCACCCCCCCCTTCCCCGTTCCGCTTGGCTGGCACCGGCTGGCCGCCCCCCTCTCCCTTGCCCCCTGTCCGCTTGGCTGGCTCCGGCTTGCCGCCCCCCTCCCCGGGCTCGCCAGGACCGTCCAACAGCAGGATGGCTTTGACCAGGGGGTCCTTGGAGCCCCGACGGCGGATTTCTGTGAGGAAGAGGGATGGTGAGTCAAGGAGGGGCCTGTGTGTCCCCTGAGACACCCCCCCCCCCCCCCCCCAGTGCCTGCCCTTGCGGATGGATGTGCATCAGGGACCCCATGCCGGGGACGCCCCATTGGGAACTGGCTTGGGAGGAGCCAGAGCAGGAAGGGGCCCATCCTCGTGGTGCCTGGCCTGCTGTTGCAGTGCCGAGGCTGCCAGCACCACGGGCACAGAAACACACCGGCGGGGCTCGCCAGGTTCCGTGGCGGCAGGATGCTACGCCCTGTGCCGGAGCTTGGCCCTGCAGGAGGCCACCCCGGGGGGGGGGGCTCACACACCACCCCCCCCGCCCCCCGCTTCACCCCATGGCGCCGGGCTCCGCCAAACAGCTTGGGCTGCCCCGCACGGAAAAAAACCATCAGCAGCAAATCTTTTATTTCCAGCTTCCGGCCGAGTCAGTTCCTGTTGTTCTGGCCAGCTGGGCGGCCGCCGCGCTGGCCGGGGAGTCACTGGCTGGGGGGGCACGGCCATGGAGGACCCTCACGGATGCTGTATCCCCCCCCCTCGCCCCAGCCCCTGGGACAGCTGGGTGGCATTGAGGGCTTTGCACCAGGCCTGTCCACCCGTTGGGTGATGGTGGTGGGTCGTGGCACTGGGCGAGGGGCCGGCGGGCACAGGTCAGTGTCCGGCCTCGCGCCTGCTCCTTATCTGGCCCCGCGCAGCCGCAGGAAAAAAAACCGCGGGAAGCCGAAGGAAGCGGCGACCGGCTTTCCTGTTCCCGGAGCCTCGGGCGGCTCCGAGGGCGGCGGGCGGCCGCTGCCATGGCACAGCACGGTATGGTGCAGCACATACCTGTGATCATCTGCTGGGCATCGTAGGGCTCCATGTAGCCATCGTTCTCCCCCAGGCGCTCGGCCTCCCGCTGGCCCTTGGTGCGCTTAGCGTCGTAGGGGTCGGCGTAGTCCTCCAGGATGATGAC